ACAAATTCTTGAAACAGGATATTCAAGAGAATTACCAGGTAATACACATGCAGAACAATGTGCATTAGAAAAATATTTTACTAAAAATAAACTTGAAGGTAAAGATAGAGATGTTCCACCAGGTACAATAATTTATACTACAATGGAACCATGTTCAGAAAGATTAAGTGGGAATTTACCATGTACGGATAGGATTTTGGGGACATCTATTAAGACTGTCTTTGTTGGTGTTTTGGAACCTGATACTTTTATTGCTGAGAATACAGGATTAAGGAAATTAAAAGAAGCTGATGTTGAATATATTCAAGTTCCTGGTTATGAAGATGAATGTTTGAAAGCTGCGTTTAAAGGACATCCGGGGAAGTAAGGAGTCATACAAGGGTATAATAATGTCTGAATATCACGATTATCACATTTAAAATAGTAGTTTATATACAAATTCATCGAGATAATTGTCAATAAACATAGTTTTTTAATTAAAAGTCTATACCTCTGCGTCTCAAACCGAAAAATTCGCGTGAAGAAAATTGAAAAAGTTTGGAAATTTCGTCGAGTATTAATTAAAATCATGATACTCTACAAAACCAGAAAACCCTTTGATTGTACTTACTCAATTGATAACCACAATGCAAAGAAGAAAAGCTCAACCAATTGTGGTGAACAAGGAAGACGGTAATTTCCGTGAAGCTTTAAAACTTTATGAATCCAAACAATATAAGAAATCATTAAAATTAACTGATGGTATATTGAAAAAAAATTCAAATTATTCAGAAGGTTTAGCTTTGAAAGCATTATTATTACATTGTTTAAATGAAAAAAATGAATCTGAAATTTATGTCAATAGAGCAATTACCAAGAATGAAGATTCTCCTGTTGGGAATCATATTTTAGGTATTTTAAGAAGAGTTCAACAAGATTATCGTGGTGCTGCTCATCATTTTAAAAAAGCATTAGATAATGGTTCAACAAATAAACAAATTTGGAGAGATTTGAGTGTTATGGAGGTTCAAAATCGTGATTATTCTAGTTTAGCTAAATCAAGACATGCTTATTTAGAAGAATTCTTAGGTTATAGAGCAAATTGGACTGGTTTAGCCGTTGCACATGAATTAAATAATGATTTTGGTCAAGCTGAAAAAGTTTTAACAAAATTTGAAGAATTAGCAACTGATAAATTAACTGAAGCAGAAATGTATGAACATTCTGAATTACAATTATATAAAAATCATATAATTGCCAAACAAGATATTGAACGTGCATTAAAAGATTTAAATAAATTAGATACTTTTGATAAATTAGATGAATTAGAATTAAGAGCAACTTATTTAATGAAATTAGGTAAATCAAAAGAAGCTTCAAAAGTTTATCGTGAATTATTGAAAAGAAATCCTGATAATATTAAATATTATACATTGTTGGAAGTTTCTTTAGGTACTTTAAATAAATCTGGTAAATTTAGAGATTCATTATATCAAAAATTAGCAAAATTTTATCCAAAATCAGACCCACCTGCATTTATTCCATTAACTTTCTTAAAATCTCAAGATTCATTATTTAAATTAAGAGTTGAAGAATATTTATTAAAAAATTTAAAAAGAGGTGTCCCTGCAACTTTTACAAATGTTAAACCTTTATATAAAGACCAAGGGAAAATTTCAATTATTGAAGAAATTGTTTTAAAATTTTTAGAAAAATCTTCAGAAATTTCACCAATTGTTTATGTTTGGACAAATTATTTCCTTTCACAACATTTCTTATATAAAGGTGAATTATCAAAAGCTAAAAATCATATTGATTTAGCTATTAATCATACCCCAACTTTAGTTGAATTATATATTTTGAAAGCTCGTGTTTTAAAACATTATGGTGAATTTATTAAAGCAGCTGAAGTTATTAATGAAGGTAGATTATTAGATTTACAAGATCGTTTTATTAATTCCAAGACTGTTAAATATTACCTTAGAGCTGATTTAATTGATAAAGCTTATGAAACTGTTTCAATTTTCACTAAAAATGATAATTCAGTTAATGGAGTTAAGGATTTACATTTAATGCAAGCTTCATGGTTTATAATTGAAAATGGTGAATCATTTGCTAGATTATCTGAAAAAGCTGAGTCATTAGAAGAATCTAAAAGATTTAAAGGACTTGCCTTGAAAAGATTCCAAGCAATTGTTAAAATTTTTGAAGAATATTATAATGATCAGTTAGATTTCCATACTTTTTGTTTAAGAAAAGGTACAGCAAGATCATATATAAAAACATTAAAATGGGAAGATCAAATTTTTTCAAGTCCAGTTTATATGCGTGCAGTATTAGGTGCATCAAAAATTTATTTTAATAAATTTGATAATGAAAAAGATCAAGTTGTTGAAGATGATAGTGTTGAAGTTAAAAAAAATGATAAAAAGGCTAAAAAGGATAAAATTGCTAAACAAAAGGCATTAGAATCTGAAAGAGTAAAACATATTGCTTATACTGATGATGATGATGTTTTCGGTGAATTATTGATTGATTCTAAAACACCATTAGATGATTTCCAAAACAAATTTTTCAATCATTTATTAGAACAAGGTTCTGATAAAATCATTACAAATGATTTACAATATAATTTACAATTTAGATTGAAAAAAGTTGCTTTGGCGATTGGTGCATTGGGTAAATTGAAAAAATTAACAAATGATCAATATGAATTAATACCAGCTTATGTATTAAATTTAAAAAATAATTGTGAAAAGGGTATTAGTTCAATTTTAGCTGAAAAGGGTATTGAAAAAAATTTTAATATTGATTTTAACAAGGTTGATGAATTTATTGATAAATATACTCAAGGTGATTCAATTGAATCCACTTGGGGTTTAGTTGAATTGTATAAATTGAAATTGGAATCAATTGATAATGAATTGATTTTATCCAAAATTGAAAAGAAATTGACTAAATTACAACCATATGAAGTTTTATTAATCAAATCAGTGTTATAATAGTTATATAAATATATACATTTATGAATTTATCCAATTATCAACTTGTACAATGGCAATATTTGAAGCTAATCTAATACCATTCTGACCAAATGGGAAATAACTTATTGTATAAATCAATGAAATAATGAACTGGCAAACACATGATATGATTGTTAATAAAGTACTATGTAGAACTAAACTTGAAATCAAAGTTATTATGATACTACCATTAAAACTTAGTGTAAACCATAATCTTTCCTTGAAGAATAAATGTACCAAGTAATTTCTGGTACCATATAAAGAATTAAAACTGAATAGAAACAAAATTGAACCTAAAGACCATAATAATGCAAATTTTTTTGGTTTTAATGATAATATTGGGAAAAGAAATATACAAACAATCCAGCAAGATAGTGAACCAGCCATGGCAACTGCAAATATAATGAGTCTATCCCATTTAGAAAGTTCTAAGTAATCATTTTGTGATCCTGGTTCATTTATTTGAGCTTCAGTATCTGGTAATTGAACAGGATTTGAATTTGAATTGAATGGGTTTAATCTTGATAAGAATGAACTTTGAGGTGATTGTTCCTCTAATTCTTCTTCGTCGTATAAAGTTGCGTAGCGAGGTTGTCTTTGTGGGAGGAAATTGAAGAAATTGGACATTGTTGAAGGTGTTTGTTTAGTTGTTTTTGTAGTGTTTGTTGTTGATTTGGTGAAGTTTTGGTGGTTTCCCATAGTTAAGAAATTGGTTTTTCATGAGAATAAAAGGAAACAAAACAACGAAAAGTACAAAACATCACCAAATATCACCAAATCACAAACAATCTACAAGGAATACAAGGAACCAACATGGACTTCATGGACTACAAAGGGAAGAAAGAGGACGAACAACTCAGTTTGCCAGACAACTTATCAGAGTTCAACATCCCAGATTCAACGATTGATGAGAATGAATTATTGGACTTCAGTTCCATTGATGATGCATTTGCAAAAAATAGAGGAACTCAAGGTGCTCAAGGAACACAGGGAACAAATCAAGGATCACATAATCTTTCAACTTCACAGAGTAAAAGACTCCCTTCAAGTTTGAACAACAATAGTTATTTATCCCAATCTCTAAGTTCTTCAATCCCAATAAAACAATCATTAGCAAAAGCATTACCAACTTTATCAGAATCTTATAATTCAAATGCTGATACTTCAAATAAAATTCATAAATCTACATCAAGAAGAAAATCATCAATCAAGAAAGAAATCCAAGATGATGATGATGATACTGTGGAACGTAAAAGAAGAGATAATATGAATGATAAAATTCAAGAATTATTAACCTTAATACCTGAAGATTTTTTCAATGATAATAAAGATAAATCAAGTGGAACAAAAGATGGGAAACCAAATAAAGGTCAAATTTTAACAAAAGGTTTAGAATATATTCAAAATTTACAAAATAAAATTGATGAAAATAATAGAAAAGAAGTTGAATTGATTTTAAAATTGAAGAATTTATCTTTACAAAAAGGTCAATTTGTAACAGATATTAATTTAAATAATACAAGTGCTGAAATTATATTGGGAGAAATTGGTGTTGGACCATTAGCTGGAGTGGTAAATACAAATAATAATAATTCAAATAGTAATACTGTTGATGCAACAACAACAATTTCTTCAAATTCTCAAAAATCTCCAAATAATAATTTTGAATATGGTGGATATGATCAATATGGTAATTGATTTGGAATTGTCATTTATAGCTGGTTTATTCAATTCTTTGTTTTTATTATTTTATTACTTTACTTTTAGTTTTACTTTCAATATATAATTATATTATTTTATATTTGTAATCATAAATTATTTATATACATATCATGAATATTGGTGAAAGTTATTTATATTTGACTAATGTCTTGAATGATTCCATACAATTTTTAATGGTATAATACAAGACTCAGACTTCGTCTTCATCTTGGTTAATATAAATTTGGCATTCTTAACACTTCCCTTTCTTTATTTTCACTTAATTCTTGTAACAATTTCAATATTTTACTATTTTCCCATTTTTTAGGTAATGGAGTAATATCATAATTTTTAGTTGCCCAATAATAAATATCCCAATCTAATTCATCTAATAATTTATCATATTCATCTAATTCTTCCAATGAAAATTTATCTAAATACAACTTGGCAAATTTTGATAATAATAAATCAGTTTCCAAGATACCTCTTTTTCTACTTTGATAAATTAATCTTGCCTTTTTCTTGTTGATATCTTCATTACCTCTTTCAATTGGTGCAATTTTAACAACTTTTTCATCTTTACCATCTGGGGTTTTTTGAGTAATGATTTTTGGACTTAGATTAGTTTCACCATGGTCTTTGGCAAGTATTGATCTTGTACTGAACAATCTTGTTGATCTTGTAAAATTTCTGAGCATTATAAATAATTTCCCTTATAGTTTTTACCCCAGAATAACTTGAATAACTTAGTAAAACTCATAAAATATTGGTTATCATCTTTTTTTTTTCAATCGGTACAAAAGTCGGACACCCATAATTTAATACAAATAGATATTTTAATTAAACAATATCTAAACAAATATTGAAGATATAAAGAAATGGATTTCACCATAAGAATTTTGAGATTAAATAACACTATATTATCATAGTTAATTTGTATATTATCCTTATCACCATTTCACTTCCTAATTAGGAAGTCAACGATTTTGATTTGTTTTGATTTTTTAAAAATGTAAACAACGAAAAAAAACAAAACGCGTTGTATTTAAAACTATTTCTTTATATTTCAAGTATTCTTTTTAGATTTTAAGAGTATTTAAAGGCTTTGGTTGCTGGTTACTAGGTGTTATTTTGGTTTACTAGGTTATTTGGTGTGTTTTGTTCAGGTTATTTTGGTTTATTTAGGGTTATATTAGGAGAATTATATTCATTATGTCCAGACAAAGTTCAGTACGTCGTCAAGAAATTAAAACAAATGATCGATTCCCAAGTTTAGACAATCATGAAATCAAATTATGTTTAGAACAATGTGATATATTTGTTACACAGGATGAATTAGATAAACCTACATCAATGTTTTTACAAGGTTTATTTCAACAATTTATTGAAAAATATTTAGGACTTTCACCAATTAAAATTAGACAAAGACAAAATTCATTATTAAAGAATGATATTAATACAGATGATTATTATACTATTGATGATGAAGAACAATTTAATGAATCTTTAAGTCTCTTATCTTTAAGCTCATTAAGTTTTAAATTTTTACAAGATTGTGGAGTTTATGATTTTACATTAAATGATTTAATTAAACCAGACCAAAAGAGAGTTCAAAGATTCTTAAGTGCAATAATAAATTTTGCAAGATTTAGAGATGAACATCTTATAGATAATGAAGAGATTAAATATGAAAATAATTTAAAATTTGATAAATTTCAAAGAAATTTAGAGGAAAATCAAAATTTAAAAGAAAGAATTCAAATTTTAGAAAAACAAAATCATGGTGATGGATATTTAGAAGAATTAAATTCAAAACAATTATTATTTGAACAAGAATTGAAAAATTTAAGAATAATTCAAGAAAATTTATCAAATGAACATTTAGATTATAAATTAGAAAAAGCAAGATTAATTAAACAATTAGAAGATCATAATTATTTACTGCTGGAATCAAAAACTCAATATGAAAAAATGAAGAATTATATAATTGAATCACCAGATATCTTGACAAAAATTTTACAAGATATGAACAATTCATTAAATAATGATCAACAAGTTTTAAATGATTTAGAATTAAGATCAAGAAAATTAGGTATAACAATTGAATCTTTTAATATTATAAAATATGATTTAACAAATTGTTTTAAAATTATTGATGAATTAAAAATTGAATTAAATAAAGAAATTAAAAATAAAAAAAATTTAAATTTAATTAAAGAACAAATTGAAGAATCAAATTTAAAATTTAATGATTTTAATAGAAAAATTCAATTAATTCAAAGACAAATTAAAAGTTCCGAGGAAAAATTTAATAAGACTAAAAATATTAGAGATGATAAATATAAAGAATTTGATAAAAAAATTGATGATTATAATGATATATATAGTAAATTAATTACAGAAAAGCAAATTAATGATCAAAATCTTTCATCAAAACAAAATTATATAAATTCAATTGAAAAAAAAATATATAATTTAGAAAATTCATTCAAGAAGGAATATGATGATACAAATTTAGAAATTGAAAAATTAAATTCACATTTAAAATTATATTTAAATCAAATTGATGAAAAAATAAATATACCCATTGTATAATTAATTAATTTATTTATGTTATATTTTTATAGAAAAATTGTATATAAAATTCTTTTGTATCTTTATCCCAAAAAGTCCAGAATTTATCATTATCATCATTATCACTAGTTGTTCTTTCACTATATATTTCTTTTGATGGAATTTTAAATGCAATATTTTCATAAGGATCAGCATTAATCACCAAGTATTGATAATTTGAATTTTTACTCAAATCAATATTTTGTTCAAAAGTATTCATAAATCTATAATTTGGTGAATCTCCTGGGGATATTTGTAAATAATTAATTTTAATTAATAATCCAATCTCAAGTGAAATAGGATGACGAATTTTCATAACTTTATAACCAGGTTTCCCAATCTTATTCCCCTTTGATATTTTATTTATATTTGATATACTTATACCTTGATGATCTTGTTGTTGTTGATGTTTATTCTCCAATATAGATCTTTTTTGTAAATTCAATTGATGTTTCCTTCCTTGTGAATGTGATAAGAAAGATTCTGGATTATTATGAGTAGTAAGACATAATCTACACTCAAGTAAACCTAAATGATTTTTGAAAACATATGGATCATTATCTAAATCAATTTGATTTGATACTAGTTTTTTGATACGTTCTCTTCTATAACTGTTTGATTCACTTGCACTGGCGACACCACCACCACCTTTTTTGGACCCTATTCTGTTTTGATAATCCATATTGTATTCTGTGTGTTGTGATATATGAACTAATAATGAAAGTAATATAAAGTATTTAAATTTGTTTATTTAATTTTATGATTATGTAATAAGTATGGTAATAATTCGCGAATTCATTTTTCAAATTGTTCTCAAATTTATTTAAATACTTTTGAATTTCTTCAATTTCTTCAATTCTAATTTCTTTATTTTATTTAAAATTCATTCTTTTATTTTTATCACGTTACTTTTTAATTTAATGTTAACTTCAAATCCAATCATGCTGTTCAAATAATTAAAACACATTAATGATAGTGATGTTTTGGAATACGGCCTGCACCTATTTCAACCAAACATACATATGATATGCATCATAATTATAATTCTTTGAGGCCATTGTATTAAATTATATTATGGATTAACTATATGTTTATACAAATGTGTCCTCAATAAATACTGCATTTCCAATACTTTTGTTTGATAAAAGATTGAACTTTATTGTTCTTGATCTTTTTCACATTAGGTTATTTGAGATATGTTTAATGTTTTTGAATTTGAATTGAATTGTAGTATATTAGCTTATGTTCGATAGTTAATAATATTATTACAATATAATATTTATTAAATGCTCAATATGTTTATGATTCAAAAGTATATTAATAACAAGAATATAAGTATATAGATTACATAACACATTACAAACAATTTGAACTTTTTTTTCATTGACTTTATAAAATTTTAATTGTATGTCCATCTTTTAGAACTCTTTCACAGAGACCATATTGTGAATCTACAATCTGATTAATTCTTTAACCTTCAGATGGAATACTGAACAAACCAAGTCAAACCTTTTTAGAAAAATTTATTTATTGGCACAGATGTGATAAGGCTTTAAAACCAACTCCAATATAGTTTTTTTGCAGTAATTTTTGGTATGAATAATCCTTATAAACAATAAAATTGAATTATATATTGATTACATATATATGAATTCTTAATAAATATCATATTCTCAAGACTTGTTGTTCTGATAAAAGGTTGAACTTGACATAGTTCTTGACCTTTTTCACACTAGTTATTTGAAGTATGTTCAATGTTTTGCAAATGTTTATTTAATTGTAGTATAAGTCATATCAACTTTCCTGAATATCCTTGAAGAATTCATTGATAGTCTTTATATATTTGATGCAATTCAAAACCACACCAATAATCACATCCAAAATGATTCGTTTTCTTTATTTTTGATAGTTTTCATTTTCAGTGCTCTTGTAAAAGCTGATGGTTTACTAGATGTTTTGGGTCAAATAAGCCCTATAATAATCAATGGAAAGAGATACAATTCCTCTGTTAATTCTGAAGTTATCTACGTCGAGATGATTTTCAAAAGCTATTAATTAGTTAATTAACAAAAAGATTAGCTGATAGTGTATAGTTATAGACCAGTTGCTTATATAACAAATTACTTAAAATACGGTTCCCTTAACGATCGATTGTTTTTTCTTGAAAGGATCAAAATTCTACTTTTATAATGTTTATAATATTTTATACAATATTTGCTCTAATATGATTTTAAGAACCATGCTCTGGGTGCTTGGCGTAATCCATATAGTGCTTTGATAATTTCGAAATTTTTTTTTGCCATCTAGTGTTTCTGTGGATTGAATTTTATTTTAATGCAATATTAAATGATCAATTATCCCAGTACTAATGTGTTGTTAATTTTTCGAATTTTCAAGTGGTTATTGGTAAATTAAATGAAATTAAATTATAATATTGCGTTACATAGATATCAGTTCTTAATAGATATATCATATTCTCATGACTTGTTGGTTTTGATTAAAGATTGAACTACATGGTTCTTGATCTTTTTCGCACTTGTCATTTTGAGATATGTTTAATGTTTTTTTAAATCTTGTTCATAATTTGTAGTACTTATTAAAGGAGATTGAACTCGTCAAATACTCACTAAAAGCTTCAAAGTTCAATATAAACAACAGTCCAAGTATATAATAATCCATCTTTGTATCCACCATAGTTAAGACGCGAAATTTAGTACTCAACATTGAGAAGATTATAATTTTAACAAATAACAAAACTTTCCAAGTTTTATGATTGATGGTAAAGAATTATAAGCTGCTATATTGTTAATTACCATGACTTCGAAAGGTGTGGATGCTACTACAAGCTTCTTAGCTGCTGAGATCATTGCACTGAACAATGATGGTATTTTCAAGACACTTAATGAAGAAACATCAAAAGATTATACAGAGATGATTTTAAATTTAAATCATTTGGTGATAAATAACACCAAGAACATTCCCTTAGCTGTGTGTGCTCATGGGCTGAATTCATTAGAAGATTGTCAATTATTCCTTCAAGAAATGGATCAAATTTACCTTTATAATGAATTGATATTGTTAATTTTAAGAAATAAACTACTTTTCAATGATGAAAATTGGTTAAATTTATGGAAATTTATTATATTATTTGAAGATAAATTCATGTCATCGTGTGATAATGATCCAATTAAATCAAATTTTACAAATTTGACAAGAGGTGATGATAACTTTTTGAATTTTTTTTTAAAAATTAAGACTAAAGATGATGTCGATGCATTAAATTTTTGTAATAATATAATTAATGGTTATAAAGAATTTTTAAAAGATGTTGAATTCATTTTTGCAAATTTAACTAATTTTGCAACTAAAATGGAATCAATGAAAATTATTGAAATCTTATTAGCTTCCATTATTAATTATACTTCTAATGAAGGTCATTATGTTTTACCATCAATCATTTTAATTAATTATATTTATAAGAATAATGATCAATTTAATTATCAAACCAATTATAAAATTGAATATTATGATACAAACATTAGTTATATCAAAACTAAACCAATTGCTGGTGAAACTTCAGAATTTATTACACCTATAATTGAATTACCTTCAAAATCAAAATTGTTTGAATTATTTTCACAATATACTGAAAATAAATATAAATTAAATTTATTATATGAAGAATTATTAAATCGAATGATGGAGAATAATTGTTTCTTTGGTGTTATTACTGATTCAATTACTCATATTTTAATTGAAATTCCTTCAAATAAAGAATTAGGAATTTCAATAGAAGATTTGGAAAATGATATGCAATGGTATAATTTGGAACTTCATTTAAATGGGTTTATATTGAATGATCAGAAAATTTATGATTTAAAGGGAAAAGAATTATCAATATCATTAATTGATCGAAATGAAAATCATAAATTGATAAATTTAAAACTAATAATTTCTTCAATTATATCCAAACATATAAAATATCATAATTTTATAGCAAATGATCAACATCAACCTGATGATTCCAAAACCATTAATCATAATGATATGAAAACAAGAGGTGAAAATGTATTAAAATTTAAAAAATCTTTGAAAAGATTTATAGCTGGTGAACGAATGAAACCTAAAACTAACCCTCATGAACAAATCAACTCAAGATTAATAGATTTATCTAATTTTGATAAAGTATCAAATGTTCCACAATTAGGTAATTGTGTTAAAGAAACTATTAATATTGAACCTAAAGAAGCAGATGTTTATGAAATTTTATCTGTTAATCAACATCTTTGTACAAAAATATTAAAAATACAAACTAATCATTTGATTAATATTTTATATAAATATGGAAATGGGATTAATATAGGTGAAATTAGTTCATTACAAAAAAATTCAGAATTAAATCATTGGGACCACATTATAGTTAAAACAATATCAAGAGAATTAACAATGAATTCAGAATACAAGATGAGAAATTATCAATTAACAGATGATGAAATTTATGAATTTTATTATGAATCATATCTTGAAAATGAATTAGAAGCTCTTGAATTGATAAATAATTATAATGATACACTAGCCTTGGAATATAAAAAAGATAATGAATTAAATGTACCAAGATTATTAATTAGTGGATTAATTCAAAAAAGTGAAGGTTCAATTCTTGATGATGAAAAATTTATTGCAATTGAACCAATATCATATATTAATAATCATCCAAAAAATGGAATTAAACAATCTGATGAAACTAAACAAGATGGATTAAGACAGATTAGAACTATTAATTCTTTAGGTATTCATCATAATGATATTTTCCCAAGAAATATTTCAATTAATCCTTATACAAATAAAGTTTTAATTTTTGATTTTAATAAATCAACTATTGGTGAGCCTTTTAAATTTTCAAATGATTATATGAGTGAAGATATTGAAAATTTGGGCTTTGCTCTTGATGGTAAACATGAATATCTTGATTATGAAGATATTTCATATTAGTTTTTATGAAATTAATATTCTTGTGTTTAATGAAGATTGATTATTTTTAAATGTTTAGATGTAGAGAATTAATTACATACTTTCTATTGAAAACACAATACAATTATGTAAAATTTTCAGCTTTTAATTATTCATGTACAAGATATCATTATATTTTTTTATATATTTATAAACAATTTATACTATATGCATATACTTTTTTTTCATTCATCTCTAACTTCTTTTTCAATTGATTTAATATTTCTTCCATCTCTTTCTTGTGAATCATTTCCTAATAATTTATAAGCAGGTAAATATCCCCCATTTGATAATTTTAAATTTGGATTTGGTATTGTGGAATTTATACCACCTAATGAAGTAAAACCTTGATCATATAATTTACAATATTCAATTTTATTAGTTTTCAAAAAACACCAAATTTCATCATAATGCCAATTTATAACTGGATGAATTCTTATAAATTCAGGCCAACCATGATCTGTTTTTTGTATATGTTTTAAATCTGAGGCAAATGGATCTGATCTTCTTGTCCCGACAATTATTGATTTTATTTGTGGATTATGAGATAAATATTTTTCAAAACCATCTTTTAAATTCATTGTTATGGAAGTTAAGTTTAATTTATATCTTATGGTGGATGATTCAATAAATTTAATTAATTCAGGAAATTGTAATTCATAATTTATATAAATTGATTGTAATTCTCCAAAATTATTTAATTCTTCCTTGGAATAATGTTTGGATAATGAAGATAAATATAATATTAACATAACAAGACAATCTTTCCCACCATTATAACTTATTGAAATTTCATTAAATTTATTATTCTTTATTGTTTGATCCAATATCTCCAAAGATTCTTTAATTTTAAATTGAGTATTTATTATTAGTGGATCATCATCATTTAAATTTAAAAAATCCGTTACTAAACTGTTTGAACTTTGACAAACTTCACCAAATTGCATTTCTTTAGTCATTAAATTCAAATACCAGTATCCTATTAACAATATAACCAAAGAAGTAAATTTAAAGAGCATTAAAAGTTGGAATTATCTCCAGATTACATATATAATACCCATCATTTTGACTTTTTCTCGTTATCGGTTTAAAAAATCAAATCAAGCTTTTGAAATGGGCACTACACCAATAACCATAAAATTATTTAATTTATAATTAAATACATGAATATTATATTATAATCTATTATTATTATGTACAGGGGTTATTTAATTACAATATTTATTATATCTGTCTTTTTTTCCCAAGTTTTCCCGAGTTTTTATGAGGTTATTATAAGATTCACACCACTTGCATTAAACCCATTCTATAACGTTCAATTGATTTTTTTAAAAGATAATCTTCTTCTGAATAAAATTGATTCTTGTTATCCACAGGATCTAATAATAATTCCATATCATTAATAATTAAACCTAGGATACTTATAGTATCTAAATCTCCTATGATACCATTTGCTTTCATATCAGTAATTAAAGAATCCATTAATTTAATATCTTTAAATTTATGCCATGTTCTCTCAAGGACTTCATTATAAACTTCTTCAGTACATAAAAATGTGAAAGCTTTAATGTTTAATTTTTTTAAATTCTGGAAAAATGAAATAATTTCTAATGATGAATCAAATTTTATTGCTAAATTCTTTAAAAAAAAAGAAATAATTAAAGGTAATGTAAATTGATCAATGATCGGAGCTTCAGGAGTTGTTGCTGATCTTAATTTAATTTCTGATAAAAATTCATTTGTTATTAAAGATTTTGGTTTAAAATTTTTAGAATTTGTTTCTTGTTCAAATATTGATACATAATTTTCCACAATTTTAATTAAATCATAATCATTATCAATTGAATCTAAATAAGTCATTGTTGGTTTTAAAGCTTCTCTTAATTCTTGTTTTTTTTGAATTTCTTCAATTAAATTTCTATGAATATCTAAATCATCATTTTTAACAATTTCACTTGAAACTGATAATGGGAAATCTCTAATATCATGATTTGAAGTATTTGTTGATATAGTCATATTATTTTGATTTTGATTATTATTTTGATCAGTATTATTTTTTAAATTATTTTCAAAAATTAATTGTAATGAACCTTTACTTGTTTGTTTTGTTTCTTTTCTATATGTCATAATTTTATTGAAAACTGATATAAAAGTATCTGTATCTTTTTTTGAAGCTGTATTTTTACCAAAAGAAGCGAATGAATCCTCTGTAATTCGTTCATTTAATCTTTTTATAGATGAACTGAAACATCTTCTCTGTATTCTTAAACTTGAAAGCATTTTGTGTGAATATATAGTTAGAAATCAAATAAATTTATAAATGTTTATGTCTCATGAAAAAAAATTTATGTATATACCGAGAAATTGCGTGTGATTACCAAAGATATAACCAGGAATTAAAAGAAATTGAATAAATTTAAAGGTAAAAGTGATAGGGAAAAGTGGGTTTTATTTCTTCTACAAGATAGTCAGACAGTGGTTATGTGCATGTTTTAAATTATATGTACAGTATGATGTTTTGTATTTATTGTTGAGCATTTTGTAAACTATTAAACGTTAGTATTTATTAAAGAAAGATAGAATATATTGATATAACTCACCCTTGAACAACTCTAATATTGGTATCCAAGAATCTATTAACACAGTTGTTTAAACAAGATTCTTCATTTGAATTTAATTGACCATCACCAATTGATTTAACACATTTTTTAAAACATAAATTTGTAAATTGATGAATTGAAGTTTGAACTTTTGTTTTAGAATTTTCTGATTCAATAAATTGTAAGATTTCCTTTTTGGATGATTCATCTAAGTTAGCTAAATCTGCTTGATTTAAAGACATTTTATGGTATTTATAGTGGTTGATAATACTTCTTCTCTATATAATTCTTCTTTTATCAATGAGTACAATTGATTTTTTCATAAAATGGCCATACAAAAACAGAAAAAGAACAGGGTAAATTAAATTAATGAGCGCCTAGTCATCGCTGAGTAATCGTATAAGAGTTTTAAAATTGTTTTGAACATTTTAATGGGAATTTGGAAACTATTTATATTTATCTTGTTCATTTTGTTCATTTAGTTATTTCATTGATCCATTCTTTATTAACACTCGTTTGATATTGTTGTTAACCAGTATTTCAAGTTCTCAGTCTATTAATATATTCAGGTACACTTTCAACTCCCAACAAGAATTTATATTTAGAAATATTTGAGATCTGAGTGTTTAACCGTTATATTATACTTATACTATATTTATCATCAAAAGATACACAAATGTTACTATCAAAATACCTGGCATTGGCCATCTTATCCACTTGGGTAAATGCTCAAGCTACAACTACAACAGATGATTCAAATACTAGTTTATCTTCTTTTGATATAGGTGTTTCTAGTGGAGGTTTTGGGAATGGTGCTTCATCTTCAACTTCAAATGGGAATGATGATGATAATGATAATAATTCTTCAACTCAAAGCTCAAATGGTCAAGGTAATGGATCTTCCACTACTGGTACTTCATCAACTTCAACATCAACTTCATCAACTTCATCATCAACTAATAATTCAACACCTCAAAGTTCTTCAAATGTTGTTTCCTCTACTCAAACTACATCAAGTAACACCAATACAAGCCCTTCAACAACTTCTTCAAATACATCCACTACAAGTTCAGGTGATAATGATAATGACAATGATAATGACAATGATAATGATGGTTCATCAACATCATCAACTTCAACAACTTCATCAGATGATAATAATAATAACGATAGTACAACAAGTTCATCTTCATCATCAACTTCAACTTCAACCAATAACGACAACAACAACAGCTCATCAAATCAAAGATCCTCATCAAATTCACCTTCATCAACTTCATCACCTACAAGTTCAACTTCAACAAATCAAAGATCAACTGCTGTAGTAACAGTCACTTCAGTTTTCACTACAGATGGTAGATTAACTACAAGTACTTCTAAAACTTCATCAGAAACTTCAATTAAAAGTTCATCATCATCATCAGCTTCAAGCTCATCATCAGGTTCATCAGAAAATAAAGATAATAATGAAAATAAATCTTCAGGTTTAACTCAAAAAAAGAAAGTTATTATTGGTTGTGTTGTTGGTATTGTTGTACCTGCATTAATTATCTTTGCATTAACTACTTGGTGGTTCTTAAAGAAAAATCAAAAACCTTTAGATCATTCAGGTAAAGAATGGAATGATGATGAAGGTATTGAAGATGATTTAGATAAAAATGATGTTGATAGATCAAAAAGTGTTAATAGAGCTGTTAATTTTTGAACCAAAACCTAAACCAAAACCGAAAACAAAACATTAGCTATTTAAACTTTTCTTTATATATTCAATCTTTTTGTTAAACGTTTACATTCATTTTTTTTCCATTATACATGTTGATTATAATTCATATTTTGATCATTGGATTTTTTTATACCAATTTTTATACCATTTTATATAATATCTCATATATTATTCATTAAATTAGTTTAAAGTACTAATTACATACAAGATATAGACAAGAATATAGAGATGTGATATAAATATACTTAGCTACAGTTGAGCATTATAATATTGATAATAAATATACTTAAATATAGAGTATAATTGTAGATTACATACTACAAAGTAATTGAAAAAGAATAAATTCATTTTATATTAAACTTTTAAGATGATATTGTAGTTCAATACAAACATATGAGTTCAATCATCTTATAAAAGTTATAATAAATGAATATAGATACTGTAATGATCTTAAATTATTCTCAAATTCATCAAATTAATCTCATCATTTTGATATAAGTTAAAACATTAATAATCAAATGCGTAGAGCTGGAATAGCTACTAATCGATGGCACGAACGACTAGGTCACCCGGGATTATAAAGCTGCTTAAAACAACAAATTCATGGCGCTTTAACAGTAGAATTAAATCTTCAAAGTTCTGCTTTCAGAAATACAAATGTTCAAGTAAATACAAATGTTAAACAGTACAATTCAATTTTCTTTTTTTGCCCTAAATTTTTACTTATAAAATTTAAAAGCAGTCGGAATTTGGAATATAGATTTGCTGGAGATCCGACCAAGTG